ATTTTCTGAGAAAGAAAGTCTTACATCTATGTGTTTATACAGCTCATAAAACATATTTTCAAGTATGAAAAAGGAACGAACAAAAAAAAAAAAAGAAGAACGAATGAAAACAAGAAATGCAGGAAATTATAATTGTTTAATCCAGAGATAAACCTTAGTGAAATTAAAGCTTGTGAGATGGAACCAATTAATTCTTACTGGTAAGCCATGAATCGATAGTTTTAAAATTAATGAAAAACTTAATGGTGAAGGAGATAAATATCGTGAGAGTATATGTGGTCTTTTGGAGTTCTAGGTCGTTCCTTTGATCTCACCGTCTCTATGAATACAAGAATCACGTGAAGATACGCGTGTTGTTTCTATGGTAGCAGGAACTGTTGCATATTACATATATAATGTTACAATAACTATTAAGTTTCGATGTTTATTTCATCTGTCACAGAGTGATCATCAGGTGGCTGAGAAGCAAACTCATGCGGCTTGTAAATATAATTCAAACTGACTTGAATTTGGCTCCAGTGAGAAAGAATAAAATTAGTATTTATATGTTACCTTGGAAATATAAACAAAAATTATTCCAGCTTTAAAACAGCATTATTAATAAGAAAAGACTTTTCAGAATAAAATACTATATTACGTTTCACCCAGAAAGACCCGATCGTGACCTAGTGGTTAATGTAACGAACTGAGGATCCAAGTCCCGGGTTCGATACATGATGCAACCTAGTAAGCTCCACACCTTCAGCTGTGAGTGTGTTGTAAGAGCGACAGTCAATTTCGCTATTCGGATTGGTGTAGCTGATTTAGGTGGAAAGTGATGCTGAATAGTCGCCTTTTCGCAGTTAAAAAATAGAGACGTCTATGCCTGAATTATAGAGGTCTCTGGTCTGGCCGTTTAGCCTATTGTGTACATAAGATCGTTCGAGTGAATGAACGAATAAACAAACAAATTTCATTGAAAAAATCCAAGAAAAACAATCAGACAAGATATAGCTACATTAATGTGTGATATACTCAACTAAGAACGAAAAAAGAAAAGTTTCTGTGATTATAAGCCAAATACACACGCGTTTTTATAATGCTTGTTACTATACGAGCAAAATATAAATTCATATCCAGAATATAATGTGAACTGTTGAAGTATTTAACATGTTAACTTTTTTGTCTATTCTTTGAGATTGAATGATGTAAAGAGACTTAACGCTTGGAAGTAATTTGTGTATTGTATGTTATGGCTGATGAAAGTTAAGATTTGTAGCTTAAATGTAATTGATTTTAGCATTAAAAAAAGTTCACCTACGCTGTTATATAAACTCATTTACCTTAGGACAATCAAAAGTTTTTAATTTTAAACTTTAACATTTATCCAAGTTATCTTGAAGTAATTTATGTCAATCTCAAGTGTAGTAGAGGTCGCTTTTCTCAAGTAAACACGAACTAAAGCTTACTTGTGAAATCAGTGTTGTGTACATGTAACGTTGGCTCATAAGTTATATGCATATAACATCTGACGGCACGTGCGCATGTCCTGTCCCCTGCCTTAACTTAAGATAGGTGTTCCATCACCATGTGTAAGCTGCTTTAAAAACCACACTCTTGTTTCTCAAATGGTTTGAACACTTGTAAATGAAATACTTCACAGCTACTTTCTGTTAGCACTATTTGTTGAAAATTTCATTTTGAAGCTACCATGTACCGCCCCTTTTATTTTACTGCAACTACTACCATAATAAGTTACTACTTGCATTTCCTTTACAATGATATGCCTTACCTGTTGCGGATGGAGAGACTCTGTTGCTCCGCTTTCGGTCAATACGAGGACTTTGGCTCGAGATTCCTTGCTCTCTTTCCAAACAGAGGGCTCTGCAAGCTGAGAAGAATCCTGGGTCTTGTTGTTACGCTTGTAGTAGCGATAGATAGCGAAAGTTAAACCAATCAGAAACGTTAACGCGACGACAACTGCGACGCTTAGTTCCAGAGGTGAAACTGCCATATTATCTTCTGAAACATGATAGTTTTGGAAAATTATAATAGTGTTTAATTATATTTCATTGATATTTTTCAATATAATTAATATTTTATAATACGTCCTCAATCTAGACACAAATAACTGAGAAACTAAAGCAATAATTTGTGTTTCACGTTTCTAAGTAAATTAAGATAAAATACTTATCTTATCAACATTGGTTTACATATCAATGTAAAAAATGTTAAAACACTATCAAAAATTTTAAATATTAAAAAAATTTAACAACATAAAAATACTTAATATGTTCGTGTTTAGCAGTTTCATTTTTTAAATTCACGAGTTACTTTTTTAAAATGCGAAGAAATCAGTTTTCCAGTGAGTCTTGTACTTTCAATATATTGTTTTAGTTCATATAATTGAAACCTTCGAAGGATATTGAAGCAAACTTTACAGAGGGAAACGCCTTATGAAAAGTAGAGAGGTACTCATTAGTACAATACTCATGTTTATCTGTTAAAACACTTATTTTAAGTAAGGTACTTAAAACTAAGGTGAAAGTTGATATACAAAAAAATCTTAATGAGAAATATTTATTAAATATGCTAAACCAAAATATAATTGCATGATCATAGAAATAGGCATGCACAAAATGTATGATATAGATGTACGTATGGACATAAAAAATCTAATTATCAAACAAGCATACCTTTAAAATACGTAATTAAAGAACCACTAAAGCTAACTGGTGTATGAAACCAAAAAGGTACCAAAGACAAATTATATTAAGGGTCATTGCTACCGTAAGTAATGTAGGAATTATAGTTGAAAAGTATTTTTAAATAGTAGTAGTTCTCTAATAAACGAAAAGATGGCGGTAGAACCAGTGGTGGGATTCAGCCGGTTCGTGCGAACCTGTTCTTAGAATTTAATGACCTCCACGAACCGGTTGTTAACAATCGTATGTATAGGC